ATTTTTTTGGAATGAAATAATTATATGCAAAGTTGGTATGTATCACATAAACATTTTGGACCCATACAAAACACTGAATGAGAAATCTAAGTGTTTGAAATGTTACAAATAACCCTTTAATGATGATTGATAAAAAAGCTTTCATCATTGCTGTAAAAGTGTAACATAGTTTTTATTTTAATTTTAATTTTTTGAGTTAGGGATTGTGTACCTACTTAAAGCTAAAATCCATCAGGCCAGTTTTGTACATACACTGTAAAGAACCCCTTTTAAAATTATTGTATTCAAAAGCATACACTGTCTTGAAATTTCTTGAAATTTGCTGTTTTTTTTAGGTACCCTTATGGAACTTGGAATTTCCCCAATAGTTACATCTGGACTGATTATGCAGGTATGGGTTGACTGCAATTATACTTAGAGCATCTTGGGTATTTATATTGGAACTGGTCTAATCTAACTTGAAAAAAATATCTCAGCTCCTGGCAGGTTCTAAAATCATTGAGGTTGGTGATAGTCCTAAAGACAGAGCTCTCTTCAATGGATCTCAGAAATGTAAGTACCTTCCAAAATAAGTATGGAGTTTCTTCCCACGTTACCCTGACGTCATTTTCGAAGAGAAACCAGTGGTGGCGTCGCGAAATGTCGGCTGTTTTCTCAGGTTACTTCTACTTCATGCTGTAGGAATTTATTAGGGTGTTGGAAAGGGTGACAGCACACAATACTACAATGTGCAAGCTGGCTCTTTACCTGTGGGAGGGGTGGGTTTTCGCCACCAGCCCCAGGACTAGAAGGATACGCAGTCTTTCCAGGTCAACGTTGATTTAGCAACAGAACGGGAAACCAATCCGCGCTCTTTCCCGTCGTCAAATGACGTTCCCGTTCTGTTGCTAAATCAGCCTAATGAATTAAACATACCGTAACAAGTTCACCTATTTCGTTAACACTCTTATTCTTCGGCCATTTCAACTTCAGTAAAAGTATAACACAAACTGCGATAACAAACATGATGAAACAACGTATGTTCCAAAAAACTAAGATTTTAAAGACTTATGCGTTGTCTCATCATGTTTGTTACCGCAGTTTGTGTTTTATTTTTACTGAAGATTACTAATGTTGATACTTTGCTCTTAAAAGGCAATAGCAGTATCATAGACATGAGCGATGAAGATTTGATGAAGAGGAAGATTCTATGACCATCTAAAACAAAATACAGGGTGATGTAAGTTTGGTTGCATTAATAGGGAATGAGTGCAATCGGCAAGAATTTTTTTTGTTGTGCGTACGTCTGCACGCAGGCTACCAAGGGTTAGTTGCTGACTCAATTCAAGGTTAGCCCGTGGAGAGACTCTTCGGGGTCGGCCAGGATTTTTGGGTATACAGCCGATTGGGGTATTTAATTTCAGGTATAATTCGGGGATTTTGGAATTCCACTACCTATAGCTAATACGAAGAGAAAGCAAGCAGGGAGGGTAAAGGGAAGGGGGAGAGCCTGTAGACCAATCCACCGTCTCTTGGACCAGTTTTTTAAATAGCGGAGCTCTATGATCTGATACAGTTATTATTTGACTCATATTTTGCTGTAGTTTTGCAAATGATTGTAATCTAGATGTGATAAAATTTCACCCAATACGTTTGGTATATTGAGCTGTAGAGTGATGATGTGCCGACGTCACCACAAGTGCAAGCGCTCGTCTGAAAAGAAAGTTGCTCCTGTAGCTCCCTGGTGAAGCATATTCAGTGGCTATCTTGTATTCTCTTCGCTATTTTTTCTTGCAGCATTTATTCCCATAATTATTGGGTCCTTTTGCTTTAAAGACGGTTAGCACAAACACCAGGGTTAAAATCGCACACCCTCGTGACCATTTTTTTTATTTGAGGGGGGGGGGGGGNCCTGACAAATCCCATAATTTCACAAATTAACACCTTACTCTTACCGTATTTGATTTCTTACCATTCCTCCGCATTTACAATTAATTAGTTCCACAACCACGACGCCGAAGTGTACGCTCCGTAGCGTCTTGTTTTTACTGAAGTTTACTTATGTTGATACTTTGTTCTTAAATGGCAATAGACATGAGCGATGAAGATTTGATGAAGAGAAAGATTCTATGACCATCTAAAACAAAATGCAGGGTGATGTAAGTTTGGTTGCATTAAAAGGGAATGAGTGCAATCAGCAAGAATTTTTTGTTGTTGTGCGTACGTCTGCACGCAGGCTACCAAGGGTTAGTTGCTGACTCAATTCAAGGCTAGCCCGTGGAGAGACTCTTCGGGGTCGGCCAGGATTTTTGGGTATACAGCCGATTGGGGTATTTAATTTCAGGCATACAGGACATTTATGCTTAAAATTGGGTATAAAGTATTAACTCACAACTAATTTTTGGTATAAAGTATACCGTGGTTCTCTTAATTTTGGTATTTTACCCGAGTTTTACTAATTTTTGGCATATTGGAAGGTTTATTTCGGGGATTTTGGAATTCCACTACCTATAGCCGATACGAAGAGAAAGCTAGCAGGGAGGGTAAAGGGAAGGGGGAGGGCCTGTAGACCAATCCACCGTCTCTTGGATAAGTTTTTTAAATAGCGGAGCTCTATGATCTGATACAGTTATTATTTGACTCATATTTTGCTGTAGTTTTGCAAATGATTGTAATCTAGATGAGATAAAATTTCACCCAATACGTTTGGTGTATTGAGCTGTAGTGTGATGATGTACTGACGTCACCACAAGTGCAAGCGCTGGTCTGAAAAGAAAGTTGCTCCTGTAGCTCCCTGGTGAAGCATATTCAGTGGCTATCTTGTATTCTCTTCGCTATTTTTTCTTGCAGCATTTATCCCCAAAATTATTGGGTCCTTTTGCTTTAAAGACGGTTAGCACAAACACCAGGGTTAAAATCGCACACCCTCGTGACCATTTTTTTTTATTGGGGGGGGGGGCACCCCCTTTTGTTCGAAGTTTTGTAAAGAATTCTCATTTACTAAAATCTGTCTTTTTGTGGACACAGATGCTCTCAAAGTTCCTCTACCAATTTTAAAATAGATAGTATCTAAAGAGCTGGCAAGTCTCCGGGCCCCTTTCATTTCTGAAGGTCAGCGACCACCTTGCACCGGGAAAATTCCCGACTATGAATTGCCTAAAGTCAACTTTGCTACTTTTGTTCGATATTTTAATTTATAGCTTATTAGATCCTTTTCTAAGCTCCGGTCCTTCTAGTCCATCAGCTAGAGGGTTGTATGGCTCCCCGGGGTATGGCTCACTAAAGGGGATCAAACAAAACATGTATAATCTAAATCTTGTGAGTAAAAAGCATCACAAAAATGCATGATAGCAAGGATAAAACGGTAGCTTTCACTTGGTAATCGAATTTTAAATTTGCCACTTAAACCCTTATTATTTGCGTCCAAAATTGAATTTATTTTTTATTAGTTTTGAATGGACCACGTATATTTAACAATTATTCCTCGAGCCCGAAAGGGCTCTGGGTCAATAGCACATGAAGCCGAAGGCCGAATGGGCTATTGACTCGGAGGCCAAGAGGCTAGTGGGAGAGGAATAATTGTTTTAGTAAAATCTAACTAGTTGGTCAAAAATATCGAGACTAAACAACTTAAGCTAGCAAAACGCGATTCAGCCGCCATTGTTTTGGTTTTCAAAGGCGGGGCTTTTCTCTTCTAGTGCGCTAGCTCAACCAATCAGGGCGGGGTTGTTCAAAGCTGGGTTAAGATAACCCAGGGTCACGGCGTGCAAATTTTGAACTCAGATATGAGAGCTTAAAAAGCCAATTCAGTTGAATTCTCTTTGCCTACAATTTGATGATTGGATATGCTAAAAAATAGAGGAAATTATCCGAGAGAGTGCTTTTGATAAAAAGAAAAAGAAATCCGGGTTAAAATTTAACCCCAGGTTAGAACCCGCGTTCGAACAACTGGGCCCAGAACGCAGCATTGATAATAGACCACTAGTTGACCTAGTTGAATTTAAGTAAAAAGCGATATCGGGGGAAGAATAATTGTGCGAGCTAGACTAGTGTTGTGCTACGTATATTACAATAGGCTTAGCGTGTCAAGAATTGAGCGAGTTTGTAAGAAATGAACGCATCCATTGAAAAATGCAGTCCTTAACTTTTTGGTTGACCCTGAGATCCGGTTTTTTCGGCTGAAAAAACCGGATGCTCTCGCAGTCTTGCGAAGGACTGGTACCGGATGACGTAAAGGGCCTGCGCTTTGCGTGCCGAGTTCTCTTCTTTACTCGCTGTGGCCATTGTCTGTCCACAGTTAAATTTTATATTTCATTTTGTAAACTCTTCAATTTCTGGCCACAGAAAAAATCGTAAAAATGGGTGGTAAGTAGTTTAAACACATTAGACTTCGTTAATGTAGCAATCTTAAGACTGAATGCTCGTTTTCGAGTAGAAATAACGATCGATTTCTTTCTCACTCACACAGTTAAATTTCTCGAGGTTTTACGACCGTTCATTTCCGTTTTGCCTGAAGTCTCGAAGCCCGAAAGAAAGGTAAGTTTTGTCGTAAATGGCTCCAGAAGACACTGAAGCACCCTTTTTTTTCTATCTAAAGAATTGTACCGTTTCTTGCTTCACTTTTGCCTGCATATAAAGAAGAAATGTTTGGCTAACACTAAGGGTACGTGGACTAACGCGTGTGGCCAAATGAAGATAGGAAACTAAATGGATAGTGTTTCTCAAGTTTCTCTAAAAATTATGGCTTTCTTCTTACAGATCCAGTTTAGAGAAAAAGTACTATGGACTGCAATTACATTGTTCATCTTCCTTGTTTGTTGCCAGGTTGGTAAACCTTTTTTTCGTTCTTTTGAAGTTCATCAGAAGTTCGAACCACAAATATTTTTTAAGCGCACGTAAGCTTTATATTATCTCTTCATTGTTCAACCGGCATTTTACGGTTTCATTCAAAATGTAATTTCAGGGTCGAAAGTGCCCAACAGTTTTGACCTTTTATTCTTTAGATTCCTTTGTTTGGCATCATGTCTTCGGATTCTGCAGATCCATTCTACTGGATGAGAGTAATTTTAGCTTCTAACAGGGGTAAGTTCTACAGCCTTTATATTTTTGACTCGTCCAAAATTCAAACCAGTAACCGTAAAATTAGATCTTGTTGTGCAGGTAAAAAGCACAAATTTCACCACACCCTCAGCTGTTTTCTCGTAACTTTAAAAATAAAGAAAATTTTACGTTTATTATTATTTTTTATTTTAACGACATTGATCGTCAGGGTTTTTGTTGCTCATTTGAATGTCTCTCTAAAAGGAAGTAACTTCTTGCGGCCATTTTAAGAGACTTCTGCGGTCTTTATTTTTCTCCAAATTCACGTTTATCAGGGGAAGGGAAAAGTTCGTTACTTTGTAAAGGTCCAACTTTTAATTTGTTAGTTGTATTTTGGAAATATTCCCATATCACACATGTAATGATGTATGTTTTCTTTTATTTCATGATCAAATCAAGAGTTTGGACCCATACAAATACTTCTACTTCTCCTTTCTTTTCGTGATCTTTTTTGTGTCAAAATTTGTGCCTCTTGAAATCATTTAAACAGCTGGAAGATACACTTTAGCTTAAGTGTCTTTGCTTACACTAGAAGGCAGAGAATAAGATTAAAAAAGATACTGTTAATTTTTTTTGAATGAAATAATTATATGCAAAGTTGGTATATATCGCATAAACATTTTGGACCCATACAAAACACTGAATGAGAAATCTAAGTGTTTGATATGTTACTAATAACCCTTTAATGGTGATTTACAAAAAAGCTTTCATCATTGCTGTCAAAGTGTAACATAGTTTTTATTTTAATTTTAATTTTTTGAGTTAGGGATTGTGTACCTACTTAGAGCTATAATACATCACGCCAGTTTTGTACATACAGCATAAAAACCCCTTTTAAAATTATTGTATTGAAAAGCATACACTGTCTTGACATTTCTTGAAATTTGCTGTTTCTTTTAGGTACCCTTATGGAACTTGGAATTTCCCCAATAGTTACATCTGGACTGATTATGCAGGTATGGGTTGACTGCAATTATACTTAAAGCATCTTGGGTATTTACATTGGAACTGGTCTAATCTAACTTGAAAAAAATATCTCAGCTCCTGGCAGGTTCTAAAATCATTGAGGTTGGTGATAGTCCTAAAGACAGAGCTCTCTTCAATGGATCTCAGAAATGTAAGTACCTTCCAAGGTAGCATAATGAGGTTGCCAGATCTTAGACTACACCAAATGCACTTGGCATTAGTGTTTTAGGACCATCAAGGTATTCAGTTCCTAAAATGTCAATGCTTTTTTGAACTTTGTACACTGGAGTTGGAAATCGCTGGAAATTTACCTAACAATTTTCTAAACTGCAATACAACATTTGATTTTGTTTACAAAGTACTTGTAGTTTAATATGCAGGCATTATGCCTGATGTTCAGTGTACAGTCAAACATCAACAGTTGATGTATAGTATTATGCTGAAAATTATGCTGGCATAATCTGCCAGACCCTACCCAGTCCCTCTGTATGTATTAAAGGAGCTAGGATATATGGGGCTTAGAGGAGTTTAGTGTCCTTGACAGAGCTATAATAAACAATGCACTGATTAAGTGTTCTTTTCTACTAGTATTTGGCATGATTATTACCATTGGCCAGTCTGTGGTGTATGTTATGACTGGAATGTATGGTGACCCTTCTGATCTTGGCCCTGGTATCTGCCTTTTGATTATCATTCAGGTAACTTGAGACATGTTCATTTTATTTTATGTACTCTGTTCTTTGGTTAGCTATTTTGAATAAGGTTAGATATTGAAATTGGCACTTTGTGTCTTTATAGTCCTGAAGTGCATTGTTTACACTTAACATTAATAACTGCATCGTTAAATGGAGGTTGGGTACGTGCCTAGAGTATCCAGGAGCTTCCACTTTTGGCAGCCCGTCCCCAGATTGATGAATGCCTTTATGGCTGGCACAATGGTGCAACCCAGCCATGAGCACCCCACTCATAAGGAAACAAAAGGCACCTGTCACAGTGAAAATATAAGTGGAGAAAGAAGCATAGGGAGGAGGGGAGGGAAGAAGAATTAATCGAAAGAAACCTTGTAACAGGAACAACCCAGCTGGAAGGAAACTCCATGTACACCAGTGAATCTCTTGAAGGATGTAGCAAACTACTGGGCATGTACATGTACATGCTGACCTACTATGGACCAATAGCACATTGTTAACTCCTTTAAATTCCATTTAAATGCATTGAAATTTTGTTTCTTTTTACAGCTGTTTTGTGCTGGTCTCATTGTGCTGCTTCTTGATGAGCTTTTGCAGAAAGGTTATGGTTTGGGATCTGGGTAAGTAGCTCAAATTTTTTGTTTGCATCAATTGCCAAACTGAAAAAATTGAGAAGAATCCCTCATTTATAAATCCACTTATCTTGGCGAAATGGCATCAAGGCTTCAATCATGTGAGTTTGATGACCCAAAACACTACTAATACAGAGAAGAATTGATTACACACAAATTTGGTTTTTACCTAGAATAACTTTTTCTTCATGGACAAAATAATTAGGGCTGGTTTACACAAAGAACACTAACACACATCCAATACAAATGCAAGCACAGTGAGACATGTATGTGTATTTATGCATTCTGGATTCCAGCATGGTTTTTCAACTTGCATTTGGGCTTTTGTTTGCAAATGCAAATGCAAGCAGAAATGCACGCACAAGTGCCGAGGCAAGAAATCAAACATTTTCCATTTCTCGCATCTTTGCTTGCATTTGTGTCGATGTAGTTCACACATTTGTATTTTTTTGTTTGCATTTATGTTGATGTTTTGTTTTACATTAACCAGGCCTTAGTGCCACAATAAGAGTCCCTTATTAATTCAGGAAGGAAACAATATATGCAGTTTTGTAACAGTTAGTGCAATTATTATATTTTATAATTTTGTAGAATCTCATTGTTCATTGCTACAAACATCTGTGAGACTATTGTGTGGAAAGCTTTCAGTCCAGCAACCATCAATACTGGCAGGGGTATGTGGTTGAATGCTTGGTCTTGTTAATTATTGGATGTTAATTATTGGGTTAGGCTAGTTTCAATAGATTTACAAGAAATGTGCCGAACAATGTTCTCTTACCCTTTTATTGGGTAGTGACACTTAGAAAATCATTTTAGCCATTAGTGGTATCACAGATCTGGGGAAAAAGAGAAGTACGTAATAAGAAAAAAAGTAGTTAAAAATAAACCAGGTCTGTCACTAAGATTTCAAGTTGCTGTATATGTCTTATTAGTATGTTGGGAATTAAACCCCTAGTTCTATGAAAGTAGCCAGAGGTCATGATGATAGTATCCAGAAGAAATCTCTGGCCCCTCAGTTCTTAGTGACATGCCTGAAAAACTAATAACCTGCCTCTTTTTTCAGGAACTGAATTTGAAGGAGCAATCATTGCTCTCTTCCATTTGCTGGCCACCAGAACAGATAAAGTGCGTGGTCTGCGTGAAGCCTTCTATCGTCAAAATCTGCCAAATCTTACCAACCTCATTGCCACTATCTTTGTCTTTGCAATAGTTATTTACTTCCAGGTAATCATGAAGTCTTGCATGTAATTCTTGTCTTTTTTGTTAATTTATGTGGTCCTATGAGCACTGAATATTTCCAAGAGAGGTTGACTGTGAAGACTACAGTAGTACTACATATGCATTTTTTTTAATGATTGCTTTGTCTGATGCCTTGGTTGTGTCACCAACTTCTTTGATTGTCTCTGCTTCCACTTCATTTGAAGGATGTAGATGTGTCAGAATAGCGTGGAGGACTTACTTAACCACATACTCACAGAATTGCCCCCCTTGGGAGCATAGGGTGTTATTGTCTCCACCTCTTTTTTCTGGGCCAGGGCATTTGCTTTCTACTAGGCAAGGTAGACTGCTTGACAGTCTTTATAATCCCACAATAATTACAATCGAATGCCATTTGAGGTGACTCAATTCATTTTTGCATTAGCTGAGTGCAATTTTCATACCCTAGATTGAATATTTGTATTCGTCTCTTTACAGGGCTTCCGTGTGGATCTGCCAATCAAGTCAGCTCGTTACAGAGGGCAGTACAGTTCATACCCAATCAAGCTTTTTTACACCTCAAACATTCCCATTATCTTGCAAGTGAGTTCAATAGACACTATGCACAGTGTATTTTTAGTCTGTCTGGGCAGACCAAACAATCAAATCTTAATTGAGTTTCTCCCTATAAAGCAGGTTACTTCTGTATTACCCCTTCTTCTATAAAGGTTCCAAGCATTCCCAAATACCAGTACATTAAAACACATCATTCGTTAAAAAATAACTGTTGTGGACTGTTTTGTTCAGGAAAAGAAACTTCACCACAGTAGAATCCTGATTTCTTAAACCCGTTGGTTTTTTGAAATTCCTGATAATTCACACCAAATGTAACTTCACTTCACCAATCAAATGCTGTAATTTTACACCTGAGTTTTTCAAACTTTCTGATAATTTAAACCATTGGGAAAACCTTTAACACTGCTGCTTCAGTTCACATTTTTCTTGGCCCAACCATAGTTACTAACCATAATGTAAAAATTGTCCAAATCACTCTCCTTTTGTGCCTTCAATTTTACTGTGGCTCCTCTGAACTTTGCATACATTTTGAAGGTGAAGCAGTAATAACATTATTGTGCGGCCCTGCTCATGTGTATTTCTCAATTTTTTCATTGACTTGTAGAGCGCTCTGGTGTCCAACATCTATGTCATCTCCCAAATGCTGTCAACAAAGTTTGGAGGAAATTTCTTTGTTAATATCCTTGGAACTTGGGAGGTGGGTCTTTATAAGATACATCATTGCCAAACTAACACCCTAGGGGACTTTTAATGGCCATTAAACTCATCACCAATAGATGAACTTGGGCGCTGGTGCCCAATTAGGGGAAGTCCTTGAAAAGTCCTTGAGTTCCATTTTTCTGTGAAAAGTCCTTAAATTTCTGTGCAAGTCCTTGAAAATTCCTTGAATTTTCTTCAACTTTGAATCTAGTGGCCTGGAAAGTGTTTTTGATGCTTTTTGGTTGTCTAAGACAGAATATAATCATAGCTTGGAGAATTAAACGGTTATTCACATAAAGTGCTTTATGTTTTATACAATAATTAACTATCAGTTGAAGACAAGTGAACTGAAAAATGTAGAGTAGTTGGTGAAGCAAACAGTTCCAGCCTTAAAGTCTTATTAGAATAGAATACTGGGAATGTGCATTTTTGTATTAGGTGGTCCTTGAAAATCTAATGTGGTCCTTAAAAAGTCCTTGAAAATGGTTGCATTTTCTTGTATAAACACTAGATGAGGGCTGTATGTTCAGGTGCTCACATCAAAGTGCAGTGACATGATACCATTGGGCCTCTCTCTTTTATCCGTGCTTATCAATTTTAAGGGCACTTGGAAGTGCCAGTAGTGTTTATTGAAATGTGTAGGTGACATACTGTAGACCTTGGTGGAAGGGGGAGGGGAGGGGACCATTACAAGCCCACAGTAACATGTGCTATGCTGCTGTGGTTACCTTGCGAAGAAATTGAAAAGCCAACCCTCCAAGTTAAAGTTTTTGCTCAGTCATCATGTGGCAATCAACTCTTTTGGTTTAGGGAGACTTTTTAACAAATAAAGTCACCAGGTGCAAAATTTTAGGCGCCATGGCAACCAAGATGGTTGCAACTTCGAGGGTTGAAAGGTAGTAAGACAATAACTAAAATTTAGAATGATGTGACTCACCTTTCTGAATGTGTTTTTAGGAAGCTGGTGGTGGCCCTGCTAGGTCATACCCCACTGGTGGACTGTGTTATTACATGTCTCCTCCAGAGACAGTGGGGCACATTATAGAGGACCCCATACATGCTGTCTTATACATCTTCTTTATGCTTGGCTCCTGTGCCTTCTTCTCTAAGACATGGATTGATGTGTCTGGCTCTTCAGCTAAAGATGTAAGTCGTCATATTGCAAATGTGCATTTTAATTCAGATTGGAAATGTAGTTGGTTTTGTTACCCATTGCAAGGTTGGCCAAATCTTTAGTTGATTGTTGTAATTCTTTTGACCCAAATCTCAATACACTCAGCTATTTTCTTAATTAAATACCTTGTGATTTGTGATCAGTTTTTGTGACCCTTGTATTGTAACAAATAGGTTTTCACTACAGTGGCAGTCAATTTTCTCTTAAACCTTTTTTTTTTATTGTGTCCTGTTGGTATTTGTGACAGGGGAGGTGAGGGGTGAAGAGAGTGTGGAATGCAGTATACAGTACGTAGCACAAAATTATATTGAAGTAGTATTATTTCTTTCATTAAGAGTTTGGCTCTCATTGCTACTTCTTCAGGTTGCTAAGCAGCTCAAAGAACAACAAATGGTGATGCGAGGCCACCGAGACAAGTCTATGGTCCACGAGCTGAACAGGTAAACTTTTTCTTATGTTTTATGGTAACTACTGTAATTGTGAGATGTCTTAATCAAAGACACAGGCAGTTTTGCTTAACTCTTTGCTTTACTGGTTACTGGAATTGAATTTGTATTTGAAAGAAAATAATCTTTGTTTTTTGTCATAAAAGGTACATCCCTACTGCTGCAGCCTTTGGTGGTCTTTGTATTGGAGCTTTGTCTGTCCTGGCTGACTTTATGGGTGAGTTCATTGAGTTTAACTTATACCCACCTCTCTTGACTGGGTTCTTGGTCATGGGACTAGCCTTGTAATAATGACATAATCCTCTGTTTTTACTGTCATGCCATCAAAAATAAAAAATGCAAACCATTCAATACAGAAATTGAGAATCAGAGAAATAAAAGAAGAGCCTCACCAAAAATCAGGTTTGTGTGATATTACACATGTGAGATATTCGGAAAAATGTTTTGCCCCCCAAAAAATAATTTACAAAGCTTTGTAGGAATACAGCAGGGGGCACAAATATGGCGGCTGAAAACTAACAAAAACATGTCTTTAAAGGTTTTTTTTACAAAAGCGGGAGTACATCACTGGAGGAACTCAAAAACATTAAAGTAATATTCATTCTGAGACAAAGAATGTTTAGATAACAAAATCTTAAAAAATTGGTAACAATTTTAACCCACATAAGAGCTTTCCCAGACACCAACTAAATGCCACATCATGCAAAGGTTTGGAAATTCAAGCATCCTCTATAGGAAAATTTCGAACCCTTTTGAACAGAAGATATGAATAAATAAAGGTGTTTGCATGCTGTAATACCTCATGAAAGTAGAAACTCTGAAAAATCGATAATTGCCTACTGTATTTATTCCAATAAGGGCCCAACCCCGAATTAGCGCCCACTCTCAAGGTCCAAAAACTTAATAAGCGCCCAGGGCAGTTAATCGAATAAATGCGGTAGTTGGAATTTTGGTAACATCATGTGAAAACCGAAAATATTATTATACTGAGACCATTGGGACCAGCCTACATTACATAACTTTTACATTGTTTCATAAATTTCCTTGTTTAGTGGTCATCTACTGTGTGTGAAGCTGTTGCTTAGCTATCACTTATTCTCTTTTCAGGTGCAATTGGCTCTGGAACTGGAATTTTACTGGCCGTCACCATCATTTACCAGTATTTTGAAATATTTGTCAAGGAGCAGAGCGAAATGGGAGGCATGGGAACTCTTCTGTTTTAACCCGACCAACTGCCACACAAAAGATCAAACCATTTGGAGAAATTTTTACTGTCATTATACATGTTCAATATCCAACAAGAACTACATCTTGAAACTGTTTTTTCTGTTAGATAGCAGTGGAAATAGCAACAGAAATGAATAAAGGAGAAAACAAGGGATAAGCTATTTTATCCACTGCAATCTTGCAGTTCTTATCCCATGGAGTTTGTGTTGTTATGTGTATTTTTTACCGTATCTGACTCTTCTTAATTTACAAATTACCATTTTTACATCGAAAGAAATCTGTCTGTTATCTGTTGTAGAATACAAAGAGTATTTTATGGTTAAAAGTGATGATGACAGTGTTGTTACCAGTGTCTTATTGAAGTGTCGAATTTTGTTTATTTCCTTTTTGCAACTGTTTGTCCATTTGTCTCACTGAGTTCGAACTTACAGCAAGAACACTCAAATACTAAGCTCAAACGAATTATATCGTAAAATTATTAAAATTCTATTGAGTACCATAAGCTAATATAACTGTACAAACTATTGTACATCGTTTGAGTTCAGCTATTTGAGGTTTTGTTTGCAAGGACTGGTAAGACATTTAAGTAGTCTCGTAACAACATAAACCGGATAACAAAAAATTTTCTCTCAGATATGCATCTCAATAAAACCAATGTCTGTTAAGATCTGAAATTGATAGTGTGGCTGTAATGAAGCAGTCATTTAGACTTGTGTGAATTTCTGTAATTGTCTCAAGAAAATGTTCAGTATCTACGGTGACTCCGCTTTTAGACTTGGCTAAATTTATATAGTTTAGTCAAGGTTTTTCCCCTAAGTTTTGATTCTCGTTATTTATTGAGCAAAACAGCGCTAAAACAAAGTGCAACGTTGAAAACGGGAGAAACTTAAAATAGCTGGAGCCCTTATTAAATATACACAAGAGTCTAAAGTTGAAGCTATTCCCTGAAAAAGGGCATTCCCCTTGAAAACACGTTTAGTTTTTAAAAGTGGAAACTACTGAAACAAGTCCAGAGTTTGAGAGACTTTCCTATCTTGACATTTCATTTGATTAGGAACGGTGTTTAAGGAGTTCCTGTGTAGAATCTTGTAATTTGAGTTCTATGTGCTTTTTATGCAACAGTCACACTTAACAAAGTAGTGTGACAGACTCGCCATGTGAAAGGTCGCACACACTCTTCAGTGGAATTAATTGTTAATAAAGTACTATATGTGAACCCAGTTAATGTGTCCATTGTTGTACCGGCCCCAGTTGTTCGAAAGATGGATAGCGCTATCCACTGGATAAATCTCTATTCAGTGAATGACCCAATTGGTTTCCCTAATACTTATCCGCTGGAAAGTAATGTTTGGATAGCGCTATCCAACGTTTTGAACAACCGTGCCCTGGCGTATATCGTAGAAACCACTTACCTATGGGGCATGATTTTGACACGAAACCAAAGGGCATAGGAGTTCTCTTAACAGATAAGAGTCACAATTCGGATGGCAAGTCGGATGTTTCCGTATAGTAAGAGTAGATCATCAATGTGACCGTTTATACTTCGTGCAAGGTGTGATTAGTATCTTTATGTTCAGACGTTTGTCTAAGTTATAAGAAGTAAAACTTGTGATGCACCCGTTTTGATGCCACGTAATTGCTCTGAATACTGTAAAAGTCCCATATCTTTCCGTTATTGAGACGGGAAGCTAATTTTTTTTCTCTAGGTATCTTCCATATCTTCCAGTGTCCCGTGGTCATATAAAACCCCTTGGTTTCTTTCGTTTCTTTCGCTGTAATATCTCGACGTTTCTTTTTTCTTTTCTATAATTCATACTACCGTCCATTTTTAAGAGGGGAATGGGTTTTTATACGGCACGAGTTAAGAAAGATTTTGTCAAGGCGGCTGAAAGTTGATCGTGAATTGTCAACTATCAGAGAGTGTCTCTGTCCAGAAAGCTTCGACTGTAATCACTATACATGTACTACCTACGAAGGGCTCCACTATAGTTAGCTATCACATAGATTGAACAATTATCCTGATTTTTACATAGTAGCAGATGAAGAGCCACAACGAGGGCGTACAATGAACCGCTACTCACTGATTGACTAACTGACTGTCTGACTGACTGACTGATTGACTGACTGACTGTTTGACTGGTGACTGAGTTACTTACCACTAACACCATGTAACACTGGAGCCATAATTGGGGTACCCCGATTCTACCTCCTCTAACACTGGTCTTTAAAAGGTCGAGTGACAGTAGCACATTCTAATCCCTCGCAGGATGGATAATAAGAGAAGGGCGTTTTAAAACATTTGGCGCCGGAAAATTGCGTTTTCAAGCCACTGTTGATCGGATATTTGTTGGCCGAAGAACATATGGAGAAAGAAAGTATCATTTTGCCAAAGCCGATATTTTTCACTGTAGAGACATCATTCCCTTTTGTATTTTATTTGCTCATGAAGTCAATCGTTAGACGATGTCATTCATTTACAACTTGTCGATGCGCATGCGTATGGAGTTACAGTAGAAAGCGGTTTGTCCCACATGTGATATGATTTTAAGAGAAATATGATCCCAGTGTTACTCATAATAATCCAACTCTGGTTTTCCTTCATCACGCATAAATCTTTCGCCTTTTACTAAAGATTTCCGTGGAGGAGAACAACAGAATGAGTCTATAGACCAATTTTTCGTCGCCCTGCCTTGAGGCGGGGCTCCTAACAAATATTAGATAGAATAGCGAATAAAATATGTTCGGTGAGGCAAAAGGGCATTAAAACTTTCAGTTTCTGTTGATTGATAAGGATAAATCAATTATTTAGTGATTATATTACAGCAGGATGCTGATAGCTAGGCAACAATTCAATCTAGTTGTTATATAAAACGTATTTCTAGTGTACTCTTCAATCCAAGTTATGTCAGTTGCCCTTTCAATTATTGTCTGCTGTTTTTACCTATCCAAGCTTCCGTTTTCAGTATGAATCATAAGACAAACTGAAGTTGCTAATCGTGTCATAAAATAAGTTGGAACGGAACATGTCATATGTTTCGCGCAGAGACGCTTTCGTTTCAAAAGCCACGTAAGAATTTTGAGTTGGCGCTTTACCCAGATTACAATGCGCCGGCTGGACATCCGGGATGTTGGCTACTGGGTTTCAACTCTTCTACGTGGCATAAATGTCTTCTCACTGATTAGAAAGTTGTGGATCATTTTAGCCTTGGAAAAAAATTCCTTACCTTGAATTGTCATATTTAGAACCCATACTGCCTCTAAGAGGCCTATTCTATCGTTTTTTAAGTTTGTTTTTGCGTACAAGATTGTACGCAGTGTGTGAAAGATGATGAATCAACGTCCTCCGATGACTGGACAAAGGTATGACGAATGTTTAGAGTTTTAAAAACGTGTTTCAAAAGTCGATTGCTAAAGGAAGCATTCCTGTCATAGAGGTTCACCGTTTGACGGACCAGTCAAGGGAGGAACGGAGAATTTTATGTCCAATCCTGGCGGTTTTCCTACACAACAGTTTCCTTCTCACAATGCCATGGCGAACGGTCCACAACATATGAACGGAATCAGCTCGCAGCAAGATCCTGCCCGACATAATCCCGGTTACTATAATCAACAACCAAAACAGCCACTTCCTCCCAAGGTAACTATAATAGCATGCATATTCAGTTATTTGTGGTCAAATTCACGAGAAAAGCGAAATACCCTGAAAAACAGGACGATCGAGCAATTTCGTTTCTGGCAGCCATTATAGATATCAACACACGTAAACAAATCTGTAAACTCTCAGTGGCTTTGATTAAATCGATTACTTACACTAGCTTAGTTGAAACTTTGTCTGCGTTTGTTTTCCTCATGTGGCAGTGTGAAAGTATCATTCCATATTTACCAGCTGTACAGAATTCCTATATATTGTGTGCTTCATTCTCCTGCTTGTCAATTTGTACCATCTTGAGATTTAAATTAAGTGTGGGTTCATAATTATTATTTTTTTTAAGTATGCTACATTCCAAACCGTTCCAGAATGGTATCTATGTGAAATAGGTATGATTATGTATTCCTTCAGATTAATTTATATCTCAGTTTGTCTTCCTCTAAATGTTTACTTATTTATGTTTTATTGGCTGTATTGTTTAGCATACCCATCTTCTTATTTCTATAGCACTAAATACAAATAGACCCTGCTTTTCACTGTGCTTCATTCTGCAAGCTAGGCCCGGGGGAGGGGGGGGGTTGTACTTTAGGAATTTCTGGGTTGGGATGTGCCGCTGGCACCCTGGAACCCTTAACCTATACTAGAGCTAGTTCAGCTGAATTTTGCTATCCTAAACAGTGTGCAAGGAAAGTAGTGTCCGATAGCGCGGGGCTAGTGGATTTTGCTATCGGGCTAGTGAATAGGCCACTTGCACTAAGAGGTCACGTGACCAATGCTTCCTTTAAACAATGAGTTGGAATCTTGCTGGTACCAAAAATTGTTAGAGCACACAAAAATTATCTTACACCCGAAATTTGAGAGGAAACGCACTTAAGGGAGATATTTTATGGCACTTTGATTTTTCAGCAAAGTAGTATGATTTGTATTGGCTGCCATGTTGGAGGGCATGCTTTTGCCCTCCAACATGGTGGCCAAAACTACTTCTTGCTTATATCTTGTTCAACGTTTCATAGTTACGCTTAGATGTGCTGTAAATGTTATCACATCATCTTTTCAACATTTTCCTTGAAAATTAAGTGCAAAACTTGTGTTCAGAGAGAGGTAATTCATAATTTTAAAAATCACATTTTGGTCACGTGACCATTTACGAACTTATTCATTGTGTAGTTCCAGAAAATATCCAGACCCCCACCACGGAGGGAATTTCACTTAGGACCCCCCAACCCCCATGGATTTTCCATTTTTGCAGGGAACTGATGGCCCCCCCACCCCTCTGGAATTTCCACAAGTGTGACAAAGCTTACGATTTGTTATTTGTCTTCATGGGTGTAATGCTGATAGAATTAACGCCATTTCGTTCAGAAATGCTACATGGTGAACAAGTCAAACTTTCAACCACAAAATTAAGNTTTTGGTCACGTGACCATTTACGAACTTATTCATTGTGTAGTTCCAGAAAATATCCAGACCCCCACCACGGAGGGAATTTCACTTAGGACCCCCCCACCCCCATGGATTTTCCATTTTTGCAGGGAACTGATGGCCCCCCCACCCCTCTGGAATTTCCACAAGTGTGACAAAGCTTACGATTTGTTATTTGTCTTCATGGGTGTAATGCTGATAGAATTAACGCCATTTCGTTCAGAAATGCTACATGGTGAACAAGTCAAACTTTCAACCACAAAATTAAGGCAAAACAAAGAGAAGAATAAAAACTCTGACTTATGAAATGATAAAAATGAATACCCCCTGCATCTTGAAGGGAAACCAAGTTCAATTTACTGTTTTCCTATCAACTGATGCGACGTTATACGTGAACGCGATGGCCGTAATGTTTGGTGAAATCAACACCATTTCAGCGAGCGAAAATTCGATCTTGAACATGCCACATCTTCAATCCCAAAATTAAGGGAAAATGAAAAGGAGAATAAAAACTCTACATTCTAAAATCGTTACAATGTATAGTGTGTACTTCGTGAAGTAAAATAATTTGCCACTCTACTGTTCTTCTATCGATCGACTGACGCAACGTGATGTGTTGCACGCGTTGATCTCTTATCTCTTAGGGGAGACTGGTAACGAGTAATGGCGGCCGAAAATACGAGCATGCGATAAAACGAGTTGTAGACGGTCTAATTCCTTTGAAATTACATCCAAAATGCTTTTGGAAGATAACAAACCTGGTTAAGATCAAAAGGAACAATCTTAAATGATAAATTTCAAGTTATTTATATCCTAAAAATGATCTACCAGTTCGGTAAGAAGCAACGTTCGAACTCAGGTCGAAAACGAAATGATATTTACCCCCGGAAAGTGATTTTATTGTCCAAACCCCTGTCCCCTCTGGAATTTCCTGGACCTCTGACCCCCCCACCCCCCTGGAATTTCCAATTCCCTCCGTGGTGGAGGTCTGGATATTTTCTGGAACCACACATTTTGAGAAAA